AAAAGGTGTTACTCCAAAATTCAGCTTGGCACCTCTTGTACCCCGGTTATCTGAACTCCTTGGAATTCAGGTACAACTTGTTCATCGAAATATAGTTTAAGGGAAAAAGAAACAGAGAATGCATGACTAATATATGCTGCTTGAGCAGGTTGTGAAAGCTGATGATTGCATTGGCCCAGAGGTAGAAAAATTGGTTGCTTCACTTCCTGATGGTGGTGTTCTTCTTCTTGAGAATGTCAGGTTTTACAAGGAAGAAGAGAAGAATGAGCCTGAATTTGCAAAGAAGCTTGCTTCCTTGGCAGATCTTTATGTAAATGATGCATTTGGAACTGCACATAGAGCACATGCCTCCACTGAGGGGGTCACGAAATTCTTGAAACCATCTGTTTCTGGTTTCCTCTTGCAGAAGGTTGGTTTATAATAAGTTAATGACTGTGTGAGATTATATACCCTAATCTTTTGAATGGACTAAAAAAAATTTAAGCAATCTCCTCTATGAGTATGACCCAGAGGCAGTTTTATTTAGGGTCCTCATCTAAACTGCCTTTAGGTGCCATAAGTAGAAAGAATGATTGACTGTTTTGCTTCCCTTCATTGTGCTGTTTTCTTTGATCATGTTTCCCTTTGAACACACATTCAATCTTTAGCCTTCTCTCTTTTGCCATTTTTTGGTGATATCTACACAATGCCTCCAGCTTTCAATCTTTTATGAGACTGAATTGTCAATATTCCTGGTTATTTCGTGTCTTTTTTGTGAGTTTCAAGTACAAAAGTGGTAGCATGTGACTGAAAAAAACCCATCCATCCTGCATATGCTGCATGCATTTTTGTTGTTAGGGCCTGTATTCCACGATCTCATATAAAGAAAGCAGCCTCGATATTTTTTTTTTATCTCAGTTTCTCCTTAAACTTCTGGTCACTTTGGTATTCAGTCTCTCACTACCTTGTTTTTAGGAGCTGGACTACCTTGTTGGGGCAGTTTCAACCCCAAAGAGGCCATTTGCTGCCATTGTGGGTGGTTCTAAGGTCTCATCCAAGATTGGAGTCATTGAGTCACTCCTGGAGAAGTGTGATATCCTCCTTTTGGGTGGAGGTATGATTTTCACATTTTACAAGGCTCAAGGCCTCCCAGTAGGTTCATCCTTGGTCGAGGAAGATAAGCTTGGTTTGGCAACATCGCTCCTTGAGAAAGCCAAGGCGAAAGGAGTGTCTCTTTTGCTACCCAGTGATGTGATAATTGCAGACAAGTTTGCTCCTGATGCAAATAGCAAGGTTTGTGGTCTAAGCTCACACAAGAAATTTCCCTGCAAGTTGTTCATGCTTTGACATTTTTTATACTCTCTGTAACTGAACGAATTTGAATGCCATTTTGTTCACTACAGACTGTACCTGCATCAGCCATCCCAGATGGTTGGATGGGACTGGACATTGGACCAGAATCTGTGAAGACATTCAGTGAAGCTTTGGGAACCACCCAAACTGTCATCTGGAACGGACCCATGGGAGTGTTTGAGTTTGACAAGTTCGCAGTTGGGACAGAGGTATGCGAGAAATGGTGCTTAAATTTGATTTTTGCTTTTCATCTGTTCAAGCTTGGATGCTACTTTTGGTTCCGCTATCTGATAGGCATGGTATGATGCCTTGTTAGAGGCTCGGATGCACACGATTATATAGGGAAGCGTGAAAACTATCTCTACACTAACGCAAATTTCTCTAACCAACTCTTTCTATTACTTGGATTAAACGTACAGTGAAAACAAATGGTCATAGTGCTTGATGCAACTTTGTGAAGTAGCTGGCTAAACCCATTCTAACTCCATATGAAACTACATTTTAATGCGTTCCTGTCATATTCATTTGGGTTTATTAGCTGTGATTGGAGGGTGAACTAGAGTTGAACACTTTCTTGTAGCTGGGTAAACCCATTCTAACTCCATATGAGACTACATTTTAATGCGTTCCTGTCATATTCATTTGGGTTTATTAGCTGTGATTGGAGGGTGAACTAGAGTTGAACACTTTCTTGCAGGCCATTGCAAAGAAGCTTGCTGAGCTTAGCAGCAAGGGAGTTACAACTATTATTGGAGGTGGAGATTCTGTTGCGGCTGTAGAAAAAGTAGGAGTTGCCGATGTTATGAGCCACATATCAACTGGCGGTGGTGCCAGCTTGGAGTTGCTGGAAGGGGAAGAGCTTCCAGGTGTCCTTGCACTAGATGAAGTCGAACGAGTTGCTGTGTGAGATTATTTGGTTTTTTTCCCCATTCCCATGCCGATGCTTTTATTGTTACGAGAGAGAGATGCGTTGTTGCAGAAAAAGTACGAGTCATGCTATGCATTTTCCGTGTCTTCAATGGGAGGGGTCTGATTCCACCATTGCCTTTCTTAAATTGACATTTTATGATTTGAGAAGTAAAAGTAACGTTGATGAATCCGGAAAGGAGGGAAAAGGAGAGAGGCTAACTTTAGACGTTGTCTTCGTGTCTCTATCCCATCTTTGTGATTCAGTCCTAGCTTTGCAAGATTAGCCAGCCATTGGAGGCAAGATACCGGTCTCTTGCCTGGATTAGTCATTTAGGCAATTCACATGAAAGTATTGTGCAGATAATGAAAAAATTGGATAATCAATACAAGTAGTTGGGAGAATTTTATATCATCTACTCGGAATACTACCATATCTGTCCATAACATGACTGAGTTGAGAAAGCTTTAGGGCTGTGTTATCGCCAAGGACATCGGTTCCTTTCAGCGTCCTCACCAAGGTATCTCTCTCTCTCTCTCTCTCTCTCTCTCGCTCTCTATAATGCTTTCAAGTCAGCAAGCTCCCCTTTTGGCGATGACAAAAATATAAAGGAAAGGGACATTCGAGCAAACCTAATCACAGAATCTCCGTAAGTTTTAAGCCACAGGAATGAAAGGCGGCTTGGGTTTTTTTTTTAAAAAAACAAAAGGAGTGCTCGGTTTTACGATTTTTTGAAGTTTTTTTTTTTTATATATAAAAAAAATAGAGTGTGGCGGCCAAACTATTGAAGTTTTATTTATTTTAAAAAATTTATTGACCTCAAAATATAATTTTTAAAAGTACTTCCAAAATACAACTCATCGCAGCATGCTTTTTGCCGTCATAAACTTCACTATTTTTGCAATTCATTATTCAGTTGACGAGGCATGCTTGTAGTCTCAATCAAATTGTTAAACAAACCATTTATTTTTTTCTGAATAAATAGAATATCAGCTAGCCCTAACGCAGATGAGATCAAACTCAATAAAATAATTTCAAGTGGCTGGAAGGACGCCTGGAATAACTAAGGCGTCATTAAGCATCTGGTTTGTGCGTTTTACAAAATGCTTTTAACGGTATATTTTGTTTAAGACTCTAGGAAATCATTTTTAAAAATATGTTCTACTAATTTTGATGTTAAAACCATGAAAAAGCATATGTATAGAATGATTCAAATATTTTTGAGAGTTTAGTTATGATTGTTTTTAAAAATATTTTTTATTTTAAAAAATATATTAAAATTATTTTTTATTTTTTAAAAATTATTTTTAATATCAGTATATCAAAATAATCTAAAAATATCAAAAAAATATTAATTTAAAGTAAAAAATAAAAATTATTTAAAAAAAAACAATTAAAACATGGTGCATCTGGGCTCAAAACTTCAATGCACTTAGAAATACTTTTAAATAGAATCCAAACAGGGTCTTGTGTTAATTTTTTATTAAAGAATAAAAAAAATAAAGAAACACCAATGGGGTAGCTACCAAAGTGGTGCATTCAATTTGTTAAAATCCTTCAATTTTATAGAGCAAAAGGTTCTCTTCGCCAAGCCAACTTTTTTTTTTTTTTTTTTTTATCCATTGTATCTTGATTTAATCTAGGCAGATGAAATGCTCAATTTCTTTGTTTATGCTGTGCAGCCGTGAGGGCACATGAAGCCGTGCAAAAAGTAATCATTTTGACCCTGTTTTTTGTATTGTATACATTATATTTTAAGATATATTTTTTTGTTTTAAAAAATATTAAAACATTTTTTAAATTTTTTTTGAAATCAACATATTGAAATTATAAAAAAATTAAAAAAACATTAATTTAATAATTTTTTAAAACCAGACACAATTAAACTTAGTATAAAACGCAAAATCAAACAGCTTGAAAGCGAGGGAACCGTGTAATAACAGGGTGAAAACTGTCTTAAAGTTTTGAACCGTGATTAGCTAAGATGTTGATGAAGCTTCGAATAATTAGCTCAAGAACTTGGCTAAATTGCACTCATCTTCGAGTAAAGGAAAGAAAATCTCATTATCATTTTTATTCCCAAAACAACTCTTTTTGTAACTGTTTCTTTGCCCTAAAACTCATTTCCTAACTATTTTTTTATAATAAATTTGATTTTTTTTCAAGAATAAGAGTATTTTAGGATAGTTTACGTATTAATTAAAATTAAAAATTAAAAACATACATTTCTTAATATAATATATTTAAATAAATAAATTATTTTAAACTATAATTTCTAAATTAAACTTCAAGAAAGCATGCACGTGTAATGATCAAGGGTTGCGTGAGAATGCAAATTCGAATTTAAGACGTATATTCTCGAGCTTTACCCAATTTATCAACCAAAAACCGCCCAAGGTTTAACTTGAACCCACACCACGCATATTGGCCCAGTGGGCACCCCCAGTAAATATCTTATGTGGATATTTAGTGTAATTTATTTTTTAAAATAAATTAAAATATTTTTTAATTATTTTTATTTTTAATATTAAAAATTATAAATCTATAACTTTAATATTTTTAAGATAAAAAATATTATTTAAAACAAAAAGTCTAAAATATCCTGGTGGTCCGAACCCACTTTACCTTACACTTTAAATTTAAATTTATTTATTTTTATATTTTAAAAATATTTATTTTTTTATGTAGTTGATAGTTTGGATAGATTAATTATAAAAATAAATTTTAAAAATTAATATTTGTTTTTTTTGAAAAAACCGACAATACCACACGTACTCTTTATAAATCGCCTAGTATCATCCACCACTATCCAACCCCTGTCTGTTATTGATCTCAATTGAAACCCGACTCTTTCGTCTTCTTTCTCTTGGCAAGTAAAGTTCCAATCTTTCTTTGACAGTTCAATCACCTTTGTATGAGCTAATGTTCGTTTTTGTGTTTCTTGATCCGGGTTTTTCTTTGTTTTGGGTTTAATGCAGGATTTATTGAAAAAATGGCCACTAAGAAGAGTGTTAGCAGTTTAAAGGAAACAGATTTGAAGGGAAAGCGAGTGTTTGTGAGGGTAGATCTGAATGTTCCTTTGGATGATAACTTTAATATTACTGATGATACTAGGATCCGTGCTGCTGTTCCCACTATCAAGTACTTGATGGATCATGGTGCCAGAGTTATTCTATGCTCTCACTTGGTATATGCTTGACGACTCCCTGATTTTCACAGTTTAAATATTTCACATTTTTTTGGGTTGAAATATGTTTTTGATTGTTCTATTTGGATTACAGATTTGGATTTTTATGCAGATTCATATGATGTTTGATTTGTTGCTGTTTTGTGTTTTTTTGGGATTTTTTGTTTTGTTTGTTGAGGTCTTTGTTTTTGGAGGATGCTTGGGCAGAACTAGAATTGCATGGCATGTTTATTCGCAGATTTATCTGGGTTTTGATTTTTGTGACATGGCTTCTGTTTTTCCGATTTAGAATACTTATTTGCATGTAAGAATATTTGTCTTTCGCTCTATGTTCTGCCATTGTTTTAGCTGATAGATTTTTTTAGTTCTCTTTCAATTGTTTTCTGCTAGCTTTTCAGTTGTTTTGATATACACTAGAAGTTTTTGCCTGAATTTATGTTCCAAGGCGGATTACCATTTATTTTCTTGTCCAGGATGTTTGACAAGACAATCATTTTTCACCTTTCTGGATTAGCTTGTCTTCCTTGGTTCTTTAACTACCTCTGTTCTACCCAAGATGAATTTAGTAAAAATTATTTTCTTAATTCTTTTGTTGGAGCTGTTGTTAGGTGACTAAGGAGAATGTAGCTTTGATAATTGATTCCTCAATAAAGTCTTATTATGACAGTTTTCACTTGCAGTTCTGGCAGCCCATTGTCATTGACTGTTGATGGTTTTCAATCCATTGTTTGAGCTGCTCGTCTAAAATCATGTAACACGATTGGATGTAACTCACTAGCTTTTACAAAACTATGGAGTCGAACGCTTTTGGAGTGTTCTTGACATCCCATATCCAAGGCCACACACAAAAAATGAAAAAAACCTTAAATTGTTTTTACAATGCAAACATACTTCATTTTCCCCCCCTTCCTTTCCTGCTTTTGATGATGTTATTACAATCCCAAATAATTTGAACTTATGTAACAAATCTCAATAATGAACTGCTTTCATGAGAATGCTACAGTGATGCTCTAAAATGATGAAAATCTCATGTATTCTTTTCTTTGTTCCAACCTCTCATTTCCTGTTTGTAATTAAATTTGCTTTGGTACCACTCTTTGCATATTTTAACTGATATAAACACTGGAGTAATTAGCATGATTGGATTTTGCACTAATCTTTGTCAAATGGTCATTCATATACTCCTTTTTTTATTATGGTTTCCAGGGACGCCCAAAGGGTGTTACACCTAAATACAGCTTGAAGCCTCTTGTACCAAGGCTATCCGAACTTCTTGGTGTTGAGGTTAAGATAGCAAATGATTGTATTGGCGAGGAAGTTGAGAAATTGGTGGCTGAGATTCCAGGAGGAGGTGCTTTGCTTCTTGAAAATGTAAGGTTCCACAAGGAGGAAGAGAAGAATGACCCTGAATTTGCAAAGAAGCTTGCTTCTCTAGCAGAAGTCTATGTGAATGATGCATTTGGTACTGCTCACAGAGCCCATGCTTCGACTGAGGGAGTGGCTAAATACTTGAAGCCTGCTGTTGCTGGTTTCCTTATGCAGAAGGTATGGTGGTTACATCTTTATCTTCTTTAAAGTGCTCTTCCCAAGAAATTTATATCTTTTGAAAATACGTGTGTACATAAAAAATTGAAAGGAGAAAATGCATTATCTTTGCATTGATAATTAAAAAAGATGCGCAATGTAAATCGATTTTCTGTTTGATCCAATTTAACTTGTTAAATTCATGGCTGCACACTTGACCATCTTGTGCACTTATAACCTGTTGTTTGCTCTGGTTTTAGGAGCTTGACTATCTTGTTGGAGCTGTGGCGAATCCCAAGAAGCCATTTGCTGCAATTGTTGGTGGCTCAAAGGTATCATCCAAGATTGGTGTGATCGAATCCCTTTTAGAGAAGGTTGACTTCCTCTTCTTGGGCGGAGGAATGATCTATACTTTTTACAAAGCCCAAGGGTACTCAATTGGGTCATCCCTTGTGGAGGAAGACAAGCTTGATCTTGCAACTTCACTTATTGAGAAGGCCAAGGTCAAGGGGGTAAAACTACTGTTGCCCGCCGATGTGGTTGTTGCTGACAAGTTTGCTCCAGATGCCAACAGCAAGGTTTGCATCATTGTCCGTTTAAATTATGTGCATTCCCTGGAATATGTGCATGTAAACCTGTGAGTTGCTCTTTTGAGTTACCCGGAGCAGTTTTTTAGTAGTGGGATACACAAGATCATACTTGCATGCACACAGAGGATCGGAATGTAACGTAGACCAATTTTGTTCAGGTTGTTTAGTGCAATTTTCTTGCAGGTGGTACCAGCTTCTGAGATAGCAGATGGTTGGATGGGTTTGGATATAGGACCTGATTCTATCAAGACATTCAGTGAGGCATTGGATACAACCAAAACCATTATTTGGAATGGACCAATGGGTGTGTTTGAGTTCGAGAAGTTTGCAGCAGGAACTGAGGTATCTTATATTTATCTAGATAATACAAGGTTCAACCACAGGTATTTTAGCATTGTAATCAAGCGTTGTTTTTCCTTTTTCAGGCAATCGCCTGGAAGCTTGCTGAGCTCAGTGGCAAGGGAGTGACTACCATCATTGGAGGAGGTGACTCTGTTGCTGCTGTGGAGAAGGCTGGGCTCGCTGATAAGATGAGCCACATCTCAACAGGAGGTGGTGCCAGCTTAGAGCTTCTTGAGGGGAAACCATTGCCTGGAGTCCTGGCTCTTGACGACGCTTGAGCTGGATTTTTCTTTTAGTGCTGGTATATGTTTGGTTTTGCTACTGGAGTGGGCTGAATGAGCGAGCTGATCTTATGGAGGCTGTAGAGTGACCGAATAAATGCTCTTCCAAGTATATTAAACTATGCAATGGTTTCAGAATTCAGATCGGATTCTTTTTTGGAACATTGTTTTTGATGATCCAGTTATGTGAATTTTCTCTCCCAAGGAAATCTTATTTCAATCTGAAATCTTAATGCTGATTCCAATGTTGAATCCAAATTGGACTAAGCTGGACTAAGAGGAAGGGAAATATTAAATCGTTTCTGGTTTCCTATATCGCCAGAGTGAGAACAAGAGAGAAGAGAACGAGGTTTGGTCTTGAAAATGCTCGGTATAAACTACACCGTGCTGTGATTTCCTGAGCGTAGCAGGATTTGGAGCTCTTATTCCTCTCCTTTTTCTTGGCACTGAAGATCCCTCGAAAGGAACCCAGAAAAAAAAGTAGAAGCACAGAGAAGTGAGATATAGAATAAAACCTGTGAGATTAATTTTTTTTTAATGATGATTCCATCCAACACTTAGAATCCAACCCTAGAACTACAAGATTTATTCCGAACACATTAATTCAGCCTAAATCAATGGAAAATGTTCGGTCTATGGGGACATGGTGGATCGCTGGATGAAGTGACTTATCACTCACTCTTAACAAGGAAATTACTCCATTATCCGGATTATCAATTGCTGTTGTTTAATGGAAAGTTCATTTGGTTTGGTTTAAGGGTTTCAGTCTTATGGCTAGGGCATTGTGATCATCAGTCCTAAGTCAAGACACAGCAGAGAGAACGATTTGGAATACAAATGCAGTTTCTTTTTTTTTATATATAAAACAGGGTAACCATCAACCACGACAGCTTCCATGATATGTTGCGGCAAAACCTAGGTGACAATTGCCCATTCTTGTTTTTTTCACAACTTCCGAGTCCATTGCTACACCTTGTTTCCTCAGGAGTACGCAATAAGAGATAAAAGAAGTCTTGATATTTTAACCTGCATGAACCGTACTAATTATAAAAAATTCTAAATGGTGTGACCTGTGCACAACTCATTATTTACTCTTATACATTTCATTGTAGATTTATTATTCAGAATTTTGCTCCTTTTTTTTCATGATTGTATTTTTTTAGGTTAATTTCAAGGAAAATTGAGTTAAGTTTGTTTACTAAAGATAAAATTGAAAGACAAATTATTAAAGTAAAAAAAATACCATAAAATGATTGATAATTTCAAAATTCATATTAAAAATTTAATTTTATCCTCAAACTTTATAAATTATACCTATTTGGTCCCTTAATATTTTTTTTTTTTAGTTTTGGTTAAAAAAGGAGAGATTATTGACCTTTAGATCACTTATTAGTATTTTATGTATTTTGTTAATAAAAATTAAATAAAAATAGACTAATAATATACTTGAATGAGATTAAGTTTGAATAAGTATATATGAAAATTACATCAACAAGCATAAGAAATTAAATGTAAAAATTTATCAACAAGTCTAAAATATAAAGTAAGTAAAGACTTAGTTCTTAAGAATTTATTTAAGTGCTTATTGTTACATCTTTATATTTTACTCCAAAATAAAATGAACTCACTAATATATTGCATGCATAAACATGATTGATATACTTTTAATGGATTCAATTTTTATCAGGTTTGTGATTGTCAAAATTGATTTTTAAGCTAAATCGGTCAACCGCTTAGGCATACTTGAGAACCAGTCGACTATTATTTATCTATGATGAACATCTAAGAATTCTGCATAAACTAGTCAATCGAATGATATGGTCATTTGAATTGGTTTACCACTTTAATCATTAGAAGTATTCTGATGACTATAAATAATTAGTTTTTTTTAAAACACATATACACACATATACAGCTCTTTTTTGTGCAAAATAAGAGATTTTCTGACCATACATGATATGAAAGCTATTTCAAAAGAAAAATCAACTAGAAATTATGAATCATAACATGCTATAAGTTGTACTAAATTAAATCTTTATATTATAACACAATAATATAAAATATCACACTTATTATATTTACAAATCTTCAATCATTTTAAATGCTATTGAGTGAACTATAGAGATTATAATTTTTAATTGTACAATTTACTATTTGAGAATAAATCTTATTGTAAACAAATTATAATTGTAAACATTTGGGAGTTTGGATAAACTCTTGATATTAGTGATGTATTGTCACAAAAACAAATCTTGAAAAAAGAACATCTTTAAATGATGTAATTGCTTGATGTGAATTCATAAGGACATTATATCTTTTACTTGGACTAGTAAAAGAGTACAATACTCATGTATAATTGATACTTGAAGTATGGATGTAGACTTGTCAAACTATATTAAAAATCGAGTTTATAATTTCTCTTTTCTTATTTCTTTACTTTAAATATTTTAATTATACTGTTAATTATTGTGTTATATGTGCTTAATGTGTTTATTTTCATTATTTAACATAATAAATGCAACACATAATTCACCCCTCTCAAGTGTTATTGTTGTCTTAATTATAAAACAACAAATTAATTTAATATTGAAAAAATCTTCAATTTAAAAAAAGATAAAAATACTTGAGTCAACCATGTTAACTAAAAAAACCCACAACTTAAATTATGAAAATAGAATAACTCCATAAAAAGTAAATTAAAATAAATTATAAAATTCAATTTTAAAATTTAATATTAAAGGATAAAATTAAATTAAAATAAAAAATTAAACTAAAAATATATTTAAAAAACAAACAAATCATTGCTTCAATTAACGGGAGAGAACCCCTCCTCTTTTAATTTATGTTAATTAATAATTAATTAATTAATTAATTAATAGTTAATAATTCTGTAGACAAACTTCAATTTTACTTGGCTTGCGAGCATCATGCAACCCCTCCTCTTTTAGTTTATGTTAATTAATAATTAATTAATTAATTAATAGTTAATAATTCTGTAGACAAACTTCAATTTTACTTGGCTTGCGAGCATCATGCAACCCCTCCTCTTTTAATTTATGTTAATTAAGAATTAATTAATTAATAGTTAATAATTCTGTAGACAAACTTCAATTTTACTTGGCTTGCGAGCATCATGCAACCCCTCCTCTTTTAATTTATGTTAATTAATAATTAATTAATTAATAGTTAATAATTCTGTAGACAAACTTCAATTTAACTTGGCTTGCGAGCATCATGCCTCATTTTTGACTTGTGCCTTGCTTGTTCATCGGAAAGTTCACCTCACGACTCAACTAAAAAATGATGACACCATAACAAAAATTATCTCTTTCCCAGACAAATAAAGAGAGATAAATCCAGCAACCGAACCATGTCTTTTTTAGGCGCACTGATTCCTAGAAACTCGAGGTAGATCTATTGATCAGATATTCAATTTAACAAATATTCTAGCACGGTGCATGCTTGGTTGCTGGCTAAGTGAGCGTTCTGTCAGTTTCTGAGCATCTTGAAAATGATTGGGCCTGTAGAAAGCAAAGGCTATTTTGTGAGGTTGCTGGCTTTGTTTCACTTAACTTGTCTGATCAATTTCTCGAGTGTCGAGGCTAGAACTCGTCACCACAAATGGGAGGTCAAGTATGAATACAGGTCCCCAGATTGCTATAAGAAGTTGATTATCACCATAAACGGGAGATCTCCAGGACCAACAATTTTTGCACGGCAAGGTGATACTGTTGTTGTTGAGCTAAAAAATAATTTGTGGACAGAAAATGTTGCTCTGCACTGGCATGGAATCAGACAGGTATCATGAGGTTTTCGTCTTCATATCTTCAATTATCCTACATATGTAAAACCCTTCTGTTGTGCATACTCCTTTATGACCACAGCTCGGAACGCCATGGAGTGATGGAACAGAAGGGGTTACCCAGTGTCCGATTTTACCTGGAGAAACCTTTATTTACAAATTTGTTGTCGACAGGGTAAGTTCTGTAATTCTAATCCAATTCTTTTCTTGTCAATATAATAACACATTCATTCTGTACTCTTATTACCAATGATAACTTTCGAGATATGATTTCAGGTCTCAGGTTATACGGTTTTCAACAGTTTTTTTTGCTATTTTTATAGAGCATAGTATAATTAGCTCAACATCCTTTTGCAGGCTGGGACATACCTGTATCATGGGCATTATGGAATGCAAAGAGCAGCTGGATTATACGGATCCATCATTGTATCGCTTCCTGAAGGAGTTTCTGAACCCTTTTCCTATGATTATGATCACAACATAATCTTAAATGATTGGTACCACGCAAGCACTAATGAACAAGCTGCTGGCCTATCTGCCATACCCTTTGTTTTTGTCGGAGAGCCACAGGTGAATTCTGTTAAACTCGTATCAACTTTAATTTGTCTTGAATTAGTTATCAAGTGTAGCAATGTTCCTTAGGTAGTTGATAGTGATTTTATGGTAACCATATCTCTTCATTTCTGCAATCCAGTCACTTCTTATAAATGGAAGAGGAAAATACAACTGCTCCCCTTCCACTGCTTCAGGCTCCGCAGCTGGAGTTTGCAATACAACAAATCCTGAATGCTCTCCTTATTCGCTGACTGTTGTTCCTGGAAAAACATATCGACTGAGGATTGGTAGTTTAACTTCCCTGTCAGCTCTTAGTTTTGAAATTGAGGTAATTTCACATCATCACTAACTTTCAATTGCTTCAGAAATAATCTGTTTGAATTTGCAATATTCGAGTTCAAAATGTTCGTGATTCTCTCTTATTCCTGTGCAGGGCCATGACATGACTGTTGTAGAAGCGGATGGGAACTATGTAGAACCATTTGCTATAAGAAACCTCTACATCTACTCTGGTGAGACGTACTCTGTGTTAGTAAAAGCTGATCAAGATTCTTCAAGAAACTACTGGGCAACTATTAATGTAGTTGCTCGCAAACCGGCAACACCAACTGGTTTGGCCATTTTCAACTACTATCCAAACCATGCACGGAAGCAGCCTCCAACAGTTCCAACCACAGGGCCTCTGTGGAATGATACAACATCAAGGTTGACTCAAAGTCTTGCATTTAAGGCTCGTCAAGGTTTCATTAACACCCCTCCTGTCACCTCAGATAGAGTGATCGTGCTTCTAAACACACAAAACAAGATTGATGGCCATTTTAAATGGTCCTTAAACAACCTTTCTCTCATACTTCCTCAGACCCCATACCTCATTGCACTTAAAGAAAATTTGACCGATGCATTTGTTCAAGACCCTCCTCCTGATGGATATGACTTCGCAAACTATGACATACGTAGTGTGGCAAAAAATGTTAATGCTGCTTCAAGCAACCGAATATATAGGCTACGGTTCAATTCAACAGTCGATGTCATCCTACAAAATGCTAATTCTATGACCGTGAACAACAGTGAGACGCATCCATGGCATCTTCATGGGCATGATTTTTGGGTCCTGGGGTACGGTACAGGCAAGTATAACTTGTCTTGTGACTGGAGAAAGTACAATGTGGTCAATCCCGTTATGAAGAACACAGCACCTCTGCATCCTTATGGATGGACTGCTCTGAGGTTTAGAGCTAATAATCCAGGTGTTTGGGCCTTTCATTGTCATGTCGAGTCTCATTTCTACATGGGCATGGGTGTGGTGTTCGAAGAAGGGATAGAGAAGGTGGGTGAGTTGCCTTCATCCATTAGGGGATGTGGTGAATCTGAAGGTCACCATCGACCATAGTGTCTTCAACTAAAAATACTACGCATTTTTTTTTCTTACAATACCAGCAGAGGAGGATCATAGCCCCAAGAACATTTGAATTTCATTGCGATATCGATTGGTTTTGATGTCAATTGCGAGTCGAATGTTTGAGGAGCCCAGATAAACTTCATGCAAAACTTTAATGAATGATTTGCATACGTTAGCCAAAGCCAACAACATGATCAAAAAAAGGGAAAAAAAAATTGGAACTTTATTCTTCTGAAAGACTGGGAAAAAAAATGTAACTGTGATTTATTATTATTATTTAATTGAAATTATAATGTTATTATTGAACATCTCTAACACCGAACATTGGCTTTCAAGGTGGGTTATTTATTACTTAATGCATTTATTTATTTTTTCTTTAAATTAAACTTAAAAAATAATTAATAGAATACTACTAATTATTTTCTATTCACCGGAACCTTTTCGGACTTGTTTTCATATCTCGCAATTCAAAATTAACCTAATAATTAATTCATTATAGGAAGTGAATGAATAAATAAGAGTCCCGGTGAGGGAGCGCTCAAACGAAACAACAACACAATCTTATGATTATCATAAAGAAAGGGATCTATGTAGGCTGCAGCCCAACTTATATATAAAGCACAGAGCCCAAAATATTAATTACAAAAAACCCAAACTCGAACGAACTATAAAATTACATTAAGATAAAAAAGCTCAAATAAGTCGGAAGCTTTGTAGTGAGAAAGAAAAGGAAAATAAAAGCCAGAGAGAGAGAGTTGATTTGAGGGCGTTCAGCACAGAATTTCGGGGCTAGCTATTCTTTATCATTAATTAATTTATGAATCAGGCTGTTGTTTTTGTGGGTACGTGATTTTCTATTTTGGTTTCTTCTCTGCTAATTTTTGTTTTTTAATTTTCTCAACAAATAAAGAAACTTTTTTACTACTATTTTTGCTCAACAAAACAGAAAGAAAGAAACAAAAATCAGAATTCCTCATAGTTAATAATGCCTTTTATTAGCATCTACATTCCTATTTAATTTACCGGTATCATTTTTTTTTTTGTATTACAGTCAAGATGACATTTTTTTACTGATTTTTGGAGAAGGTAAATTTGGGAGGCTGAATCTTTGATTTAGTTGCATCATAGAAATTCCGATTAATTACCATAAGATTCTAATTAGTTTTACAGCAGGGGGTTTCTCAAAAAAGTATTACAGATCAATAGGGAATACATGAGAGCAGTTAGGCAAAGTACAAGTGCATGAGTTTAGAAAGTTCCGTGGGAGTTTTGAAAGAAAAGATGTGCGAAATTCGCACTTCAATGTGGTTTCAACTGCACTTTTGTTGTGTAAGAATTACTGTTTTTTTTTTTTACAAGTGGGCACACAAATCTTCCAGCTGGTCTTGTAGTTGCCTGATTTGTTTTCACGTTCTTTCCTGTAAAACCCAACTTGAAAGATCACATGAGATTGGTACTCTGATGTTTCAATACATATTCCTTGCCAACATTTGCATTTCGACTCTTTCTGTAGCTGACGTAAAATATCGCAACCTCCTGGACTGGGAAATTCCATGTTCTGATTTTTTGTTTTATTCTCAATAAGCAGTGCTTAAATTGGAAAGTTATATCTTTGCAGAATACCTATTCTGTACCTTGAGGAAGACATACATGATTCTTCAATTCTTGAAAGACTTCTGCTTTACTCTTCTTGTCTATTCAATGTTGATAGCATTCCTGGTAGATGCTTCGTTAGAAGAGGAGCTTGATTCTCTCCAGATTGGAGTCCAAAGACATGGGCAGGGGAATCAGGAAGCGATACTTGGGGGCTGCACAAGACTTAGCGCAAAGGTGGAAGAAAGATAGGCTTTAACCCTGGAGAATTCGGGAACCATGGATCAACCTGCTCGCCTTCTGGTATGTCTAGGGATGCAATTGATCCAAGGGTCAACTGGGAGCCAGGACTGCCTTACCATCTTCCGGGTATCAGCTGCCTTCAGTTTAGAGGAAGATAGCTATATAAATTCTTCTTCAATGGAGAGAATAAATTATGTGAGTGAAGAATTCCAAATGATATGCAGGGAACAGAAAGTTTATTTGGCACTTTCTTGAATTTATGAAATGAAACTTTCAATGGCTTTATAGCAGAAGAAGTTTGGTAAATGGAGAAGCAAGATACTGTATATGGATGATCTTGACAAAGATACAGCAGATGGAGTAATTAAGATGCATTGAAATTGCTTCAAGGTACTTATAAGGCTAGAGAGACTACCATGTTAGACCCTATTCTTACAGATAGTTCAAGTCACCATTCTATGGGGTCCAACTGACTTTGGGTCAGAGAGAAAGGGTTCAGCACAACCCGCTTCAAATGGCTCGAGCTTCCAGTGATGAGAAAGGTCTGGTTGAATGTGATAACTAGCATGAGGTTGAATCAGACTTATCTTACAAGGAGTTGTGACGAGAAAGCATCACTAGAGAGAATTTTATTGAATGGCTCTGGAATGCTATAATCATCTTCGGACTTTAATGTTATGGAATGATAATAAGTTTGGCTGGGGTTACTGGAAAGGATTAACATGAGAAGCTCCTCAGAAACATTGTTAGATTGATGGAAAATTTTGGTGCAGATGCTCTGCACATTCATGGTTTTGGAGGTTTGAAGATCCTGTCAATGAGTAGCAACAGATGTGGATAGTTTAACAAAAGAGGCAAGAATGTTTGCTTCGGAGCAAGACTTCAAGGAAGATTTACAATGACTCTTAAATCAGGAAGTAATGGTTCTCATGGAATCTCAACCAATCTGGTCTTCGAAATTTTGGAGCTTGTGCTTTATTTTGGCTTTGATTTCTGGGGAAATTAATCATCGGTATGAGATTTCTGCTTCGCATTCAATGCTTTGGTTTAAATTTCTTTCAGTTGTTATTGTTTCTCCTTTTTGTTTTATCACATCATATCATTGTTTTTCTTTTCTTAAAAAAATTGAAATTCTCGATGATTTCCCACCAAAGCTGCATACTGGGTCTTTCTTTTTTTTTCATGTTAATGGGCATTACTACATGTAATGATGTTTCTAGCTGGTGATCATACAACCGTCATCATTTTCTATTATTCGTTTTGACCACTCATCTTTGATGATGAACATGCTATTGGTTCAAATTCTCATTCCTAAATATCTCTCACCCTATGGAAGTATGTAAAAGTAGGTAATATTAAGATCTGACAAATGCATAGGATGAAGCACGTAGACAAAGGTGGTTATGCATGCTTAAGTTCACAGAAGCGATTTTAGAAAGTGAGTTTTGTGGAATATACACAATAATTTCTCTTTCATATAGTAGTTGTTTGGCCTCCAGCCCCAAAGACCCCTTTTTTGGTCCCATAAAGGAAGAATAAGAATGGATAGAAGAAGAAACATCAATGTCAGTTTTAGTGTAGAAATACCTGAACTAGTATTCTGATTTTCTTGCACCGCACCTTCCCCCCACAGGCCATTCCTTTTTTTCCTTCCCTTTTCATCATCATAAAATGGGTATGCATATGGTTTTTGGGACTGATGAATGGGATTTTATCATGTGTGCTTGAGGCTTTGCTAGTGTATTTATAAGAGAAAATAGAGAACTTTTCAAAGGGAACCTGATATAGAAGAAAAGAAACTAAATCCCTACAAATCCGCTCTTTTGTCACAATATCTTTGAAAGCCAACCTAGTAATGAGTAAAAAATCAATTATACCAATAATGGGTATCCAAGTAAAGAATTTTCTTGAAAAGAAAGGATTCTACACCCATAATAAATATGGCAATGTAGGAGTGTTTGTTTTTGTGGTTGAACTTATTTTTTAAAGTGCTTTTCAAACTGTTTTTTCCTCTAAAAAAGCATTAAATTAATTTTTTGATGTGCCGATGTTGAAAATAAAAAAATCTAAAAAAAAATTATTTTGATGCATTTTCAATTAAAAAACACCTTGTTCCACATTACCAAACACACAATTAGTCACATACCTAACAAGGGTCTCATGGGTTACTGAGATGGCATTTACAAAACTTCTTATTTTTCTAACTAATTCTGATTGAAATTCAAATTTATCTAAATTAAATTTAATAAAATTTTGTTATATGTAGATGAAGTAAGTTAAATATGCTGACTTATGCTTTTTCTTTATAGAGAAGTAAATAAATATGTGGACACTACCCTTTTCACTTGTGTTTTTTTTTTAATGATTTATTATTTGTTTTAAGTCAAGTTTTCCTAAAACTAGGACAAATTGTTGTAGTATATTTTTAGTTTTTAGATTAAATATATGTTTAAAATTATGTTACTATTATTTAAAAACTCAATATAGTATTATAATTTATCACATACATTGAAGTAATTTGTTATTAAAAAAAGAAAAGCTAATCAATTTCAATAAAACTTTATTTCAAAATTTAGAGATATAGAAAATTTAATGATATTTTTTTAAAAGGAAATTTCTTCAAGAAAGAAAAAAAAAAGGAAAAAAAATTGAATGGCAAATTTTCATAAAAAATTACAAATTAGAATCACCACTGTTTTTCCTCTAATGGAATGTATGTTTTTGTAAAGTTATAGAATAATACAAGTAGTAATTGGAAGAAATTAGTTTTTATATGTATTATTGTATTTTAAAATTCATATCATGAAATATACACTCATATATTTGAAGTTGCTGAATTTCTTTAAACATTATCATATTTTTAATTATTGTCCACAAAGAAATTATAAAGGTTAAAGAGAATTAAGATTCAAATATTTTAATTGTACCTACTCATTGCACTACATTTGGACCGTATAATTATTGCCTAAAATAGAAACTATTTAAAAATATGAATAAGTAAGAAACAAAAAATATTTGATTAAAAATAAATTCCACAAAGAATTAGAATAAAAAAGATCGATAAAGCTGTTATAATTTTTTTTTTATTTAATGCAAATTTGTCATGCAAATTCATTTATGACATTCTTTGTCTTCGAGTGACAAACAATTTAAAATATATGATAGATTTCAATACTAATTTGGTATTTTAAATAAGAGTTGTTTCTAGGCATTAATTATTTTTTAAGGTTGTGTGGAGAATCGAAAAAACAGTGATTGGTTTTCATTATATTTAGGGAAAGTTGATTCTGAGCAAATAAAAAAAGAAGAAGAAAAAATCAAATCATGAAAAGAAGAAGAAGAAAGAAACGAAATAAAAGTTGTTTCTAGGTCGACATGTGCTAGGTGAAGGTATTATAGCTTGGCAAGCTAGGTTCATGTGCCTTGGTGGCTAAGGTAGTCTTTATTTTATACTCTTAAAGAAGAGGTCGTCTTGACATGTTTGTCCCTTGAATCTGTGCTCTAACGAATCCCTGATCACTAGAAAACCGAGCTCCTCTGTCAGCCATGGCATTCGAATCACTATTTTTGCACTATTTTTACCTCAAAATCATTCCCACAACCTCCACAAACTCATTAATAACTTCATATTCCATTTTAATCAACTTTAAAACCCAAAAATTGAAACCAAAATTTTGAAACTAATTTGTTTTTGGGTTTAAATCTCCGTTTTTCATGGACCAATGAGTTTTTTGGTGGGAATCAATCAACTAAATGACCAAGGGAAATACAATGACTAGGGGAACTAACCAAAAAAGTGGTGGCCAACACCTTCCTTTCGCCTTTTATCTTGTCCATTTGCACTCCTCTCCCAATGAAAAAAACACTGTAGAATCAAAGTGTAAATATAGCAAAAAGACATGGAAATAAAGGAAACAATATACAAAGACTAACTTCTTAAATACCCTGAAAAATGTATAAAACCTCAAAAAAACCCACTCAGTAACAGTTATTGAACAGTTAAAGAGGCCCTCTTTTAGTTTAGTATCTTATAAATATAAATTTGGAGCAACAATGTTGATGTTGGTAATTTAGCAATATTTTGATCCTAGAGTATTGCTGTGCATATTAGCCTTGTATGCTGATGGACATGGCCACCTGCCACATACCCATTGAATGTGGCTGCCATGTCTCCCACCAATATGTGCTTTGTCTGCAATACCTCTGGTTGCATGGTATGTTTTACCTTGGCAGAATAGCTGAATCACTTTATTATTGCAAGTAGCTAATGCAAATACTGTCTAATGAAGAAGAAACATAGTGATGGCTGATGTATAGGAGTTAGTAAGAGAGGGAACCAAATTCTACTCTTCCCCAGCTTGGAAGCTTAACTGACAAAAAAAACTTGATTTTGTTGTTTTTTTCAAGGTGGTTTAATTCCTCAAGAAATCACTTACAGTAGAATAAGATGAAAATGAAAGTCAAATGAATAACTTCCTATACCCCGAGCACCAGCAGGAAAATAAATTTCTGATGCATGGGATATGGGAAATTAACATTCAAATGCGACTGGAATTTGTCTCAAATTCCTATTTTTAGAGATATTCTCGTGCAATTCATCATTCCTGTGCAGCAAGGACCAGGGTTTATGGAAAGTTTGTGGAATTTAACGTTGATATGATTTTTGTAGAACAAGTATCTGCAGTAAGAACAGGGTGACTCCAATGATGACCATAATTCATACTGTGAGGACTCGAAATCTTAACCATGATTTGTTTCTTGTGTGGCTGAATTGGTAGGTAACTTATAAAGTGATTCATGCGAGATTGTGCTTTGGTGACTCTTTCTACTTGTGGTTTGGAATAAACCAATTGATAGAGATAAAGAATGTCTGTGATTTTTTTTCTTACATAAATGTATTCAGTAATACCGATGATATAGTGAACGGTAAGCATCTCTGTTGTACTTTTGCCAGCATAACCAGTAGTACAAAGCTAGTGGTTCCAAGAACTCTCAAGAGTTCATTTGTTTATGAAGTTATATCCTTGAGATATAGGAGATGTAATGGCTAGGAAAAAAGGACCAGCCAGTGGAGTTAATCAACAATTCTCAGCATGTTTTGGTATGTGGTTTTGCTTAGCCAATTGATTCATGAGATTCACACTATCATTGGAGCATTTTAGTTAAACTTTGTGTGGAAATGCATGCATACACATGCAGCCGCTTTGGTTGGAGAAAGGATAGTTAATGTAGGGATTTTCTAGGTGCAGTATGTGGGACTGGTGGTTAGCATGTTGCTCAGGTGAGTTGGAGGGATTCTCTAAGATGAACCGAGAATGTGCAGTATTAGTTTCAGTAAGGCATGTTTTTTTAATCTTCATGGTCATCAATTTTCTCCAATCAATTTCTTGCTGCTGAAGGGCACAAATTTCTAAGACCTGAAGAGCCAAACTCCCTTGGTAGGATAACAATTCGTTGTTTACATTTTTCTTTTTTCTTCTTTTGCAACTGCTTTTGCAAACCCCAGCAAGGTCACCTTGCTCAAAATGAGTGCACAGAGTGATTGAGCAAGAAAGACAATTTAGCTTTCTGGACTAATTTTTCTTATCACCCCGTCAGAAATTTTAGGATTTGTTGGAACTTAGTGAATGACTTGTGGGAGTCTATGAGATGGCCTTCTAAGGCATCACAGCTATGGGGACCTACACTAAGGTCCTGCTCTAGTGTCAATTTGCAATGAGTAATTGATTTTACCAGCGATCTAGGCATTAGTCATTACATGACAAGCAACCCTTGATGATACCTCTACTTAGGCAAAACAAAATTGATGACTTACTGCAATCATGTGGCCTCATATGATATATCATGCAAATCATATATCTTGCTTTTATGGCCATAGAATAGTTTTAGTATTTGCTGCTGTGGAAATATATTTATTTTCCCTGCAAGATGCATTTGTTATATCAAATGGTTTCAAATGGTTTTAGTGGATGTTGTAACTTTATGTGTGCCACCAGGGCAACCCAGTGTCTATTTTCTAATTACCAAATGCTATTTCTGTGTATGTATGTGGGGCTCAAGAAAAGACACTGATAGTAAGCATCTTCATCACACTCTGGGTTTTTTTTTCCCTCTATTTTTTTTTTTAATAAAAAAAATCTAAACCAGCAACTCCGAATTCCACTTATTGACCCAAGCCAAAAATTATCACTGCAGATGTACAAAATAGAAAACTCAAATAAGAAAATCTATTGGGATTATTATTGGATCTGACCGAATCTGCTGCTCTTCTCCAAATTAGGAAACTAAATAGAGAAAAGTGGTTCATATATTTTTCTTAGCCATCTGACTTGGGTAAGAAAGTTATGAGCTGGCTACAATTAATATCTCAAATAGAAATAAATGGTATTTTCTTATACAAATGTGAAAGTAGAATTATTACTAGTACAAACAGCAAGGACAGCTAATTTTGTTAAATGCATGATGCAACGGATGCATGCAGCAATGTAATTATTTTTAGAAGCACTTTATCTAAATTATGTGATTTTTTAATTTATTTTATCGTCTAATGATATTTTAAATGAGGGTTGCCTGCAAAATCTACTCATTCCAGAATTACATGTTACTTCATTTTAGCAAAAGCTAAGTGCCTGATACAGTGGATTAGTTTTGCTTATGCAATTGTTACATCAAGAGAATTATTGATTGAGGCAAGCCCTTTTTTCGATTATTTGATTTTCTTTACTTCTCTTTAAGTTATGGTTTAGTGACTTTGTAATTCCGTTCCTACTATATGCAATTGTTTTTGAAAGCAGAATTGCATGTAACAATGTGCCTGTTTGAGTAAATAATTGACCAAAAAACAATGACAATGAAACCCTTTTGTATTATATATTTATCAAAAAACAATGACAATGAAACCCTTTTGAGTAAATAATTGACCAAAAAACAATGACAATGAAATCCTTTTGTATTATATATTTATCAGCCACATGGTCCTTACATTTAATAATCTGCAATGTGGTTGGTGAGTTTATGGTCAAATCAAATGAGATCGTGTCTATTAACGGTCATCGATAACGAGAAACGAATAACTGAACACAGTTACTCCTCTTCTGCATCAGTTGTGATCCTTGCTCAGTTGTGATCCTTGCTCAGTTGTGAAAGTTTTTCAACATGGAAGATCATGCTAAAATGTACTTTATTTTATACATTCACTTTAAATATCTTTAATGTTATTCTGTCATTATAAAGTGTATGTCGACCAATAATTTGTATTGTGATTACTCCCTTTATAATCTCTATTTTTTTTAATGTTTTTCCCCATTACAAAATCAAGCCTGAAACTCTTTCTTTCCACCTCTTCCTCGAAAATAAACAAGTAAAACTCTTTCTCACCCTTCTGTTTGGCTCTCTTTTGTTAATGAAAGCAAAAATGGAGAGAATGAGCAAACAAGGAAAGAAGAGGGAGATAACTCAGGAAGAAATAAAATTCCTGAGCCAACGCCATGTGTCACTCTTCATTCAATTGCATGCTTCTCACTGTCACTTCTACAGCTCACCAATACCTTCCAAACTCTACAAATGCCCACACTCTCCCCTTATAAACTCTCCTTTTGTATACCTATTTTCTCACCCACTCATTTCTGCACTCCTTGGAATTCTATTACCAGGCTTCTTTAGTTTTAGGCAAATAAGTGCACAATTCATTTATGTATGCAACTTTTCCCAATATTTATATGCTATTGTTTTTTTGATTATGCTAAAAATTGCATCGTTGTCATGTTTTAATCCTTTGCTGCCAATGTTTTTAAGTAGAATGTTGAGGCAATAAATAGTTTGCTCAAAAAGAAAAGAAAAGAAAAAGATTTTGTAGTGCTTGAGTTATGACTGTGCTCGCTTTTAGTAGCAATTTCTTTTAAAGAGCATATGCTACAGGTGGAAGCCAATTTCTAGTCCATGGGATTAAAAATGTTTGAGTTCTTAAATGCAAACCTAACAGCTAGATCTGCACTTTCAAACATAATTGTTACTTTACCAGTATCAATACTGATTAGGAGGTATTGATGTTTGAATTCTGTTTTCTTATGTTTGATGTGATTGTAGTCAGTTAATGTATGGGAATAATGCAGAACTTCCTTGGAGCTCTGCTCTGATTTAGTTGCTCTGCCAAGCCTTGTAAGAAGACATATTCAAGGATGTCTCCAACAGCTGGAAAAGGTAAGATGATTGACAGTTTTTGGGGCTTGAACCGCAAAAGGAAAAGTCGTCCATGTGGAAGAAGCGAATCAAACACTTACGGTGTTGTTTCTTTAGCTTCATGTTCATGGGATGCAAATGAGAGCACCACTTCCATTTTGCCACCACGCCCAATAGGAGATGATGGGGTGATTTTTCTTGTTCTTTGGTTTGTTATGAGAAATTTCTTGAGACTCCAATTCTAGTTTGTCTTCTTCTTTTCTTTAAATTAGTTTTGATGTTGGGTATGTTACATAAAAGCCAACGTAGCATAGAGTATATGAGCTAATGTTATCATTTTATTTTTTTCCTGAGCCATGAATTGTATTTGTTTGGTTAGGGTCTCTTCCTGTTAACAATTGGCATTCTTCTCATACTTTTCCTTTTCTTTATCGCACACAATAATGCCCACTGCTCTGGTCTGCCTTTTGTTTTCAGAATTACTATGAGTGTGTGATCTGCGATAATGGTGGTGAATTGCTTTGCTGTGACTTCTGTCCATGCACTTATCACCTCCAGTGCCTTAATCCACCGCTTGAAGTATACACATTTTATGTCTCATTTTTCCCTTTTCCTTTGATCAATGTTCTAATTTTCACAAATACTGATATATGTTATAACTTGTTTATGCTCAAAGTGTACCCCCCCTGGAAGTTGGCAATGTCCAAACTGCTGTAACAAGGCTGATCCTGCGACTCAATTGCTATGTATTGAAAGTTCCAAAGAAAATGTCTCATCTAACAATGCAAAGCTGGCCTTCTCTCATAATTTGTTATCTTCAGACATAACGAAGAAACTAGAGTTGTCAACAGATCTGCCTGCACCTGTAAAGTCAGGATCTCTTGCCCGTGAGGTATCCTTTGCCTTTGATGTTTTTTCAAGCATAATGCAGGTTTTTGTCTGGATTGGCTTCTATGATCAAGGAATTCATCTCACCTCATACTAAGGATAGTTAAAGATTGTCATTGTAATGCCTAGATGTTTTGCAATAAAAGGCTTGGGCATTAAGGGGAGAACAGGGAAGGGGTGACACTATGATGTAAATTTCTCATTATTTACTCTCATTTTTCATTTTGTAGGAGGTACCTAAGTATTTGATGCTATAAGTTATGTATGTATTCAACAATTAACAACATGCTAGAATGATGTTATTCTTCCTAACTTTTCCTTTTATAAGTAGCTGCTGTTTCTTCTACTTCATTTTTTTCTAAGTACGAATCTTGTGTTGCAGAATCTTCCTGCTGGTTCATTGCAATCATTATATGATTTAGCTGAGGCTGGGGATCTAATGGAAAGAACATCCAAGAAATATGCTACTACTAAAGAACAGCTGGTGAATATTTTTGCGGATTGCTATTTCTAGATCTGTTATTTCTTTATTTGTTTATAGGTATTATGCAAGAAGATGAGCTATCTTAGATCGTGTGTTTTTCATTTCTTTGCTCCTTTCTTCCATTTTCTGTTCTAGAATGCTCTCAATCATGATGGTGATGAAAAAGGAACAGAAACTTGTACTAGAGCAAATGAAATAAGAGGAGGAGCGGATACTGATCCAAGTAAATCAACATGGGTTTGTGATTCTCTTGAAATGGTGAAAGGAAATCGTGCAGATAAACCAGTTATCAATACTTCAAGTTTGCTTGATGGCTCAGGCATTCAAGTTTGGTCAGGTGAAAAGGCTGACAGGCTTTCTGAAATTGAAGATCTTAATGCAGTAAGTGTACGTATATTGCATCAATCATTCCCAGGCAACTCAGTGTTAACATCAACTATTTGAGACAAAATCGTTGGAATTCAGAACTTGTTTTATTTTAATGGGAGTGGTTGCATAACCATGTAGGTGAAAATTTGTGACAGTATGAAATCCAAACACCCACTAATTGATATTTGAACCCCACAAAATCAAACCCAAATACATGCTGTTGATTTGTTTAGCATTGTTGAAACAATGAAAGGTTCTCACTAGGCTGCATAGATGCTTATCTGCCGACACAGATGCATATTATTCTGTATTGTGGTGTCATTATATCTTTGTTTTGTCAATACGCTGTCTTATTTGTTTGGTTGTTTATGAGTGAAATGTTTGTCCTTTATCAGCCCTGCAGCAAAATACCAATAGAAGAGAAAGGGGAAATGATGGCATGCCTAGGCCAAGCAACAAATGATAATATTTATCCAGCAAGTGATAATGTGAATGGGTGTGACAAGCTTTTGGTTCTGAGGTAATGAATAATTCATTCCTTCAGATAATCTGCTTTTCTGCTAATTCACAACTTAGAAAGATTTCCACCTCTATAACCAAAACCAAGACCAATCTCTCTCTTCTCATAAAGAGTGCCTTCTTTGAACCCAAGTTTTTAGTTAGAATCAAAATAGGGAAGTAAAAGAATTGATGCTTCGAGTATTTGGTATTGGACATATACTTTGGAACCAAATGAAAAAGGACAGGACATGCTTTGTGTGATAGGGAGTGCTAACAAAAGAAAGTCATGACAGCAACTAAAAAAAGAGGAGGTGCGTAGGTTTGTATTAGATAGCTAGATCAATGGATTCACTAATAGGATGATGTCTTTGGAAATTTTTTGCCAGGGATGTCATGCTGGAAACAACAACGGGTCATTACAAGTCCAAGCGGGTATGTGAAAAACTCATCCTGCAGGCCATTTCTAATTTGTTGAAGAGTATTTATTGACTCTTACTTGACATGATGTCAACGTAGAATATTGGAGGGAGGGAGTTACAGCAGGCATGGCTGCCTGAATATACAGAAGCTGGAAAAGCTCTGAAAGAAAAGGAGTAAGTCTAAACTTCAAATGAGCACAGCTGTGATTAATATATATATATTTTAACAACCTTTTCCTTTAAATAGTGCCAAGTTTCGTGCCAGACAGAAACAGGAGCTTGCTCTGAGGAACAATATTACCATTCTCAGTCCAGCAACCTTTGAACAAGTTGCAGATGCTTGGTCGGACATGGAGCTTGATTCCCTTTGGGTGGGAGTCCGAAGACATGGGCAGGGAAACTGGGAAGCAATGCTCAGGGATCCGTCACTTTTTTTCAAGGGTAAAACTGTAGAACATTTAACACAAAGGTGGATGAAAGAAAGACTTCAAATCTTCAACCTTGAAGAATATGGAAATCCACAGGTCGACAGGCATCAGGTTGCTGGAACTACCTCACTATCATCCAAGGATCAACACTCTTCAGGGGAGGTGAAGATAGATGAACCAACGCTTCTTCTGGGGGGGATTAGTTCGGATGCCATTGCAATCAAGGACTTGAATCAAATTCAGCCGAAGTATTCAACCACAAACAAACAGACAAAGATACCTTCAACTGAAAAACAAATTGTCGAGTCAATTTCCCTTTCCATCGCAAATAATGTTTGATGGTTGGAAGTCAGGAATCAGGACATAGAAATTGGGTTGCTGGGACAAAAAAAAAGCATCATATGCCCAGTTTTTATCTTTTTATTTTTGGTAAATATCAGACAGACAGTTGGCTGAAAGTTGCATCTGAAGAAAGAGTAGTCAATAGGATGTTACCTGGGGAAGGTATTCGGGATTTTCGTCAGGGTTAGCTGCTGCTTTGGTTGTTTTTTCTTGGGCTGATTGGTTTCTTTTATTTTTTTTAACCTGTATAGAGCTAGAAAAACAGAAAGGAAAGAAACAAAAACTTATTTCAATAAACGAATTTCTGTGAACGTAGTATGATTGCTCCTTCCTAGTATGATTTAATACAGATTTTACCTTTCTTTGTCCACCTGTTCTAAATTACCGCTTTCTTGCTCCGGGTCCTTCACCATCTAGGCTCGCTGGCACACTCAAGCAATTTCCTTATTAGTATTATTACTTTCGTCTCATACCAGGCATAGCAGTATATTTTGTTAGTCACTATGTAAAAACTTTCGAGTACGAAACTTTGTTAATATTAATCCAGCATTCCTAGGCAGAATATTCGACAGGCTGCATCATCCTCCTACCCCTCCTCATCTTTCCACCATTGGATCAATGATGTGTTCTTGAGCTTCTGAGGTGAGGACACGCAAGAACTTTACTAGGTCACTGTTACTTTGCTTTAGAAGGTGCCGGAATCAACACATTCAGAGACGATAATGAACTCTGAACTACGAAGAGGAGAAGAAATCTCATCCGAACTGATACATGCAATCCAAAAGTCTAGAATTTCAATCATCGTATTCTCAAGACACTATGCGGCTTCAAGATGGTGTCTTGATAGACTAGTGAAAATCATGTAATGTCGGAGAAGCTCTTGACAATTGGTTTTGCCTATATTCTATGATGTTGATCCATCAGATGTACGGGGCCAGAAGGGCAGTTTTGAAGAGGCGTTTACTAAACATGAGCTACGTTACAGTGTTGGATACAAACAGGGTGGAAAAATGGGAAGCGGCATTGACAGAAGCAGCCAGTGTGGCGGGCTGGGATTTGAGGAGCGTTGCAGATGGGTAAGTCAAGCCAGATCCTTTGGGTGGAAGTGTATGATAATGCTGACATTGTTTAGCCTCAACAATTTAGCTCAATTCTTAGTTGTTGTATGTGCAATATGATATCAGAACTATTATATTACCCCTATTCTTATTATTAACTAAAACTAAGTATGGTTTCACTATAACTTCGTCCTTACTTATCATGAACGAATTTTTTGCCTTGAAATGCTTCGATTTACTACAAATTTTAAACATTTTTTTGTTTGCAAATCTTGTATACTTAGATCATTAAAGCTATAAGTTTGTGAAAATATTTTGAAACATAATCTGTGTTACAACAAGGTCCTCAATATTAAGTGGAGGAGATTTCGGTTTTTAATTTTTTTTTTTTAAAGGGTCGAAGGCTCGACTTGTCCAGCCTAGGAGCACGGCCTGGTTACCATCAGGCCCATATGTGCAGGTCTAGCAGCATTCGATTAAATTTCTACTTTATTTTTATTTTTTTAATTTTCTCAATATCAATATTTTTCAAATAATTAATGATTTTTTCCCTAAATTTCCACAATAAAAATTAATTAATTTTATATACATAATTTTATATTTTTTTAATTATATAACATCGAAACAGAGTTGATACAACACTGATTTTCTTGTATATAATAATTGAGGCTTAGTGAGTGATAATTGATTAGTCTAAGATACAAATTTAAGAATACTTATTGAAAATAACACTTAATACAAAACCAATTGTTTTCCTTAAAAAAAATATATCAGTACTAATTATGGAAAGATTGCCTGATTTGTCAAGCTGTTATGAATTTCTGTTATTAATGGTCTGTAACTGCCACAACCTAAATGAGTCCCAAAAAATGGATTTATTCAACAACCTACTCTGCAACTGTCCATATAATAAGTAAAAAAACTGAAAAAAAAAATTGTTAAAAAAAAATTAGTTTTGTTAATTTTTTTATAAAAACCGAATCTAACAAAAAAAAAATAATAATAACCCCCTGTATCAGAGTTCAAAGGCATCACACCACAGATTCTCTCTCTCCCTGCACGCACACAAATACACAGCAAATATAAATACGGATGCATATGTTTCTAATACGCTAAAATGTCATTCGCAGGTACAGGAACGGATAATGAAGGGTGTAGGTGGTTTTTTTCCTTATGGGAATGAGATTCCGAACAACTTCATGCATTAAGAATGAGGGTCCTTCAGTACATTTTGATGCATCTCAACTTGATGGTGATGATTTGTTGGGCGTTCTGCTTACTCCTCCTAACGTGATGACTGATGATTATCTTGAAGATTTTAGTGTCAGATTCGTTGAATATTCTAGATATTAGGAGGGATAATTCTAGTTATTCCAGTGGTGCAGGGAGATAACATTTGGAAGGGATCACTGTTCAACGAGTACATCAACCTGGGCAGTGAGGATAAGGTGAAGAATGAAATAGACTTTCATGATCATGTCACTGAATAAGACGGGGGTCTCTCTAGCATTCGCAAAAGATATGTATGCCAATGACTACACAGTCGATGATGAGTCAATAGAAGAAGAGACAGGGCTTGAGTAGAAGAGAGGTCTTAGTATAAAAGAAATGAGCCCTGATGATGGGGCATAGCTGGATAGAGATAATTGGAATTTGAAGCATAATATGCAAGTTAAAATATAAATAATCATCTTTAATCATATGCAGTTTGCTTAGACAGTTACTATGGGTAAATGATGTTGGAGGGGGGCTCGAGCTTTGGCTCCTAATGCCCTGTTATTGGAATTGTAAGATGGAGCGGAACATAATATAAGATTGTTCGTTACTCAATCCAGTGTATCGGAAACCAGAAAAAGGACAGGAGCTACAGCTAGCCTTTCTTCTCCCTAATGCTTGGATCTGCCCTCGTATTTTCTAATGTAAATGAGTGAAGAAAATAAACTTTTCACTCATTTCATTGCTCTTCTATAACAGCAGTAATATCCATCACTCGGCACAATTTGAACGATGGCGTCACTTCACTGGTCAGCTTACAGGATGGTGCAATTTCCAGGATCCCTATGAAGGCAAAGATGAACTCAATCAGTAATATAGAAAAAATGAGATTCCTCCACTTGCAGATGCGCAAATGAGCAGGAAGTACCTCTTCAAGTCTTCATAATTGCTCAAAGCTTGCTCGAATTTAAGCCAAAGGGGACCGGTCTCTTGATGGTTCACGTTCTTGGGCCCAGAAAGATAAGCTGGAACGACAAACTGTGGAGTTCTTTCCCTGTTTAACAAGTTACAACAATTAGTGGATGGGACACAATCTATCACGAAGGATTACTCAATACGAGACCAGCTAAAATTCAGATTTCATGGTTATCGAACTCACCTCCCTTCATATTCCGATAACCAGGCCAAATAGGCTGCACCAAAGTACATAGACACAAATGGCTTGGTCAGATCACCAGCGGAATCTAATCTATAAGCCCTGTAACCCAATTCCCTGCGTGCAAAGAGAAATAACAAGCACATTTTAGCGATGGTCTTAAGGAAAAAATAGAAAACCAGACACCAATGAAAAGGTCTATCTCAAAAATACATTGTATATATTTGGCGCTGGGAGCCTTAAATAGTTCTACACTCAAAATACATACGTATTTTGTTAAAACTCGATCGCAATAGGTATTGTTTGAATAAAAAGATTCCACTTTCATAAGAACCAAATTGTTTAGGAAAAATGAGAGCAGGCTCCATGGAACAGCCTCGGCAATCAATCAAAAAGCAGCATCCAATCTTGTTTAATTTGTTTTTATCAAAAAGTCAAATGCATGTGTAAATTTTTATAAAAAAAAGGGCATATGTTACCACCTTATAACCTAGAATTTCAAAAATTTATTCCAGTATTTGCGTACATGTATAGCCAGAAAGCTGTAGAGTAGTCGATTCCCATTAATCCGATTCGCGGTCCAACCCCATTCACAAAACGCATGCTCACCATCTCAGCAAGAGCACAAATGACTGACTGCAGAAAATAGGTATCAAAGAAGAAGAGCAGGGGACAAGTTCACGAAAAATGGAAATTTAGGCAAGGATAGAATGTTCAAGAACTGAAACAAACCATAATAGAAATGAGAATATTTAATAACCTTGTAAACCACTCAAATCACACGAGAATTTTCAAATCTGGTTAGGAAAGCAAGATTTGCTACCTTAGCAGATCAGTTTTATCTAATACTATATCCCCAAGGAATAAAATCTCAGGCAAAACCACTGCTGTTAGGTCAAACCTAAGCAAAAATCACATTTTGAGCACAAGCTTGTAACTTTATCCATTGTTTCCAAGAAACTGAAGCAAAAGAGAAGACAGACGTGTGATTTAAGATCATATATCCACTCCCGCCATCTTATTGGTCAGGAAAAAAAATAGTTTACTCCATTTCTCTTCTTTAAAGACCCTTATAGAGCAATACTGGACAAAGTATTTGCTGTTAATCTGAAAATGAGTTCAAACATTTTTAGTGGAGCTTATATGCTGTAAAGTAGCACATGACATAAGAGTCAACCTAGTCGTAAGATGCCAGTTCTCCAATAGATATCAGCCTTGCCATCTATCTGAACTGGATTTTCTTAATTATTTTGCGACTTTGGATGCGTCAAATCTACATGACACAAATGCCTCAGCAGGAGGGACAGATTGCATGTACCGTCATTTAGGTTTCGCTAGAGCCTCCAACAGAAAAGGAGTCATTTCCTAACACAAACTCGTATCACAATAACTAGCAAATGAATGTGGGATCATCCTCTCTGCCAGGTGGCAGAAGTGAATAACTACTGGTAAATGCCTCTAAGAATTGGAAATAAAAGAGAAGAACAGAAACACAGAAAAGAAAAGGAAATATGAATTGGCCACATGGTAGCATATTTTTACATAAAAAAGGAACTTTTACTAGCTAGGATATATACTCACAGGTTTAACTCCCCTTGTACTAAAGTATTTTGAAAGAATTATGTCTGCAACTGCCTGCATGAAGTCAGTATTGGTGACAGATCATAAATGGCGTATTTCATGTTCATAAAAGGTTATTTTAAGTTAATATGTAAGAGAAGCTTTCATCAATGATATGATATGATACTTTTAATATCACAACCATACAGATGGTATGTAACATGAAAGCTCCGTGCTCTATCAGGTTATCTGCGAATTTTTGGTTTTAGGCCCCTGCTGTGCTAGAGGCCAATATGCTAAAGTGATTAGCATTCCATACAAGAATAATGGAAGTTACTTGAAGGTAAGATTATTATCTTATAGCAATAATTTATAGGAATTTTCACGTCTTTATTCATACCTTCATTTCTACCCGAGATAGATATGGTTTCATGTCCTTGTCATGTGAAAAGCGCACCTTTCCTCTTTTTTCTCCAGATTTCGTCCACTCTTTTGCAACTTCAGAACGACTCCACATCTCTTGCATTTCTTCTGGGGAAGCTTTAGAGTCCCAATATATATAATCAACACCTGTTTCCTCCAAGCAGCAACAGGTAAATTAGCATCTAAATGAAACCAAAATATCTTTTAAGAAATAACTTGGAAAAGAGGAGAGCTTGGCCCCATTCAGGGTAGTCGATTGATAGTGTCTATAATTAAGAGAATAAGTTTTATAGCATATTGGCGTGATCTCTACTCAAGATGTATCTTTCCATGTGACTTCATAACAACAAAAATACCATCTTATGTTCAATTACACCATCATGTCAACTAAAACGATATTGACCAAGTCAACTGCAATAGTAATTGTTCTGAGCTTGTCAAGTTCATATGCTCCACTAGAGAAATACGTTCTTGTTATTGAGTAATTATATGCTCTAAAAAATATCACAAACTTGTGAGGTAAATCAAATTCAAAAGAGAAAAGTGACAACCATGCATATGAAGACTGGAAAATATCACAAGACCTTTAATACATTTGGTAAGTGAATGTTTACACTTATTTTCTTTTCCTGAGTAATTGTATATTCTGTAAGCAAAAATCTATACAAAAAATACTTTCTCTGAGGCATAATCACCCATGAAGGTTCTGAATGGGCAATTTCTTTAGTAGCCTAAAGATTAATATAAGGATCACAAGGCTACTAAATTACATGCTTCTGTAGGAAAAATTGTTAGGATTTTGAATACCCCTAGTACAATCACCTAAAAAGTTTAGCTTGAATTGCGTTTGACCTTGTTTTGTTATTCAAACAAGATTCTGGCACATTGGCAGTAGATTCATAGTCATTCAATTAGATGAGAACTGAGAAGTTGTTGAGCCTAATCCAAGCTTTATGAAGACACTGAATGCAATTGCAAGTAATCTTAAGTGGTGAAAGTACAACCTGTTTTTTCTGAAGAAGGTGCATTTGTATTTTGTGCAGTAGGTGCAGCTTGAGCAGTTGAAGAATGAGCATTGTTTACTGAAGGACCTTCATCGACAAATCTTCTGCATAACAACAATACAGTTCACACAAAATCAGATATAATGTATCTATTCTTTTAAAATGTTACATTGGATCCTGCTTTTTAAAATTAGTAACAGTCATGGTATTGCAACCTTTTTCACAAGTCAGGGTTGATTCAGTGATTTGTAACCACAAGCCTCGGGAGCAGCAAACTAGGATCTACAAGGAATGACTATAAATAGTGTTGGGCTACAAGTTACGAACAGAAAATGCAGGTACTGCTGTTCCTGAGTGTAGGTGGCGGAGGACTCGTGTCATATTAAATGGACTACGGTGGTGATAGAAGTCAAATAACGAAGGCCAAAATCGCCACATGCATTTGTGTGAAAGTGTTACATAAAACTGCCAAGGCACGGGCGTGGAACAACCTTTTGAGCAAAAAACCTGTAAGGTTATTTCAAATAATGCATCTAGGCCAAACATCAAATTTATCTTGCTAATGCAATTGCAAAATTTATCTTGTTACTGTTTTATTTAGTTAGCGTGAAGTATGAGTTACAATAAAAAAATGTAAAACAGAGGAAGCTAAAGTTTTTTCATAATCCTGCAACTACTTTGAGATTGCATTATTTGCAGAACCATTCAATACAGTTGCACAGTTCCCGATATGTTTCAAGGATCTTCACAATTTAGATAAATAGAATTGACAAAACAAACAGAAATTCATATAGAAAATTGTGGGGAAAACACAAATTTGCCAAATATCAAAAAGGAAAAGGAGATCTTCAGACAACTCCAAGCAAGGACTTTGTAGCAAGTTCAGAAAAAACAAAGAGTTCTCAAGCAGATGAGTGTGTTTGGATTTCCAATTCACCTTTTGAAATTGTTTGAAAAACAATTTTGGAACTACTAGGACAGAGTCAAGTGAGAAGAAATAAAAGATAATAAATAAAGGGGTGGAAAAGAAAAGGAGAAATGCAGGGCTTATATCATCAAGCAGTACGCAAAAAAAAGTACCTGGATGGGAGACTTTCTTTGACTGAAAGGTACTGTTTCCAATATCGCAAAGTTGATTTGTGAGTTGCTTTTGTAGTACCACCATTATACGCCCTAACTACGAACTCTTCGCTTCTTTCTCTGCAAAAGACCTTGAAAGTTAAATTTCTAAATTAATTAAACTCAAAATAGAAGCTTTGTCAATCACAATACAACGTTTGCTTCAATACAAATAAATATGGATAGAGCCAAAAAAAGCAGGAATAATCAATTGAACCAATGGTGTCTCTGATCGATAACTTACACTTCTTCGAAGTTCGATAACCATTTAATATAAGCAGCACCAAAATAGACGCTAACAAAAGGTCGATATAGAATGTCTGGATTCCCTTCTACTTCATATGCCTGATAACCTAAGTCCCTGCAGCACGATGCAGTTATAACTTCAGCAAGCCAAAATAAAACCAGAAGAAAAGGAGATGGTTATTAAGGAGCTCAAAAAAATCAGAACATGTATTTGGTACCTGACCAGCCACTCTGCTGTTTTTGGTAAAATCTGCATGATGCCCAGGGCTGTCTCCTTAGTTTTCTTATCATACCACCGTGTAGAGAGGGGCTGTCTATCACTTGCAAGTTCAGCTACAGCACATATCATGTCCTGCAGATACGGGGAATGGATGCAAAATAGAACCGAGCAGTTAGCTTCTTAAAGCTTAATTACTCGTTAACATTGCTAAAGTGTAGTTACGAGGTCACACAATTCTTCCCGGAACCAAAAGTTTGTTCAAGAACAATTCAGAAAGCAGTAGGCGGATAACTAAGGTGTTGGTTTCTGCTTTTCTATCCCAGGAAAAGCGACAAGAAGAAACAAAAGGTTAACTGAATTTGCAGCAATTGAAACAGAAGATATGATTCACTCAACATTTGGTCCATTGACATCATATTTTAAGGATGATTGGAATAGAATAGAACAGAAAATAGATATCAATGATGGCTTTTTCAGTTGAACCAACCAATCTTAACACCCAGGATGATATATGACCAAGCCATGTCCATGTGTCAGTAGCTTTGTGTGGAAGCTATTTACTTTCTTTATCATGCTACAAGCTATAAAAGTGATGCAGGCATAGCGTAAAAAGGGTGTGAAGGTCAGGACACTTCTCTTCGGTTACTATTTACATGAATTTGAGTTATGAGGCCAGTCCATTTGCATAATGTAATTCAGGATAGCTGGCTTCTCTGTGTCTCAGACCAACGAGCTGGGTCCCAAGTTGATGGTTTTCATGAAGACTTTTGCCAATTAGCGGATTTATAAGTTGTTTCGGTCAGTATATTGGTAACCATTTCCCGCCTTTAACCTCTTTCTGAGCAATTAGAGTTAAAAAAAGTAGTTGATGAGGGCATACCGGCTGTATCTGTGAATCAAAATGTCTTCGGACAATGATATCAGCTACAGCCTGAAGGAATACAAAAAAATGCAAGGTCCGATTAGATGACAAGATAAGGAGCATATGGCTTGCATCTAAGAACCCATCAAATCCAAACTTGTCTGCTTCAAATTCTTGAGAAGTAAAAGACAAGAAAGGCAGCAGGTAAGATTTGCAGCGCAGAGGAATAGGCAACTTTGTTTCAAGCCCCCCAAGATTTATAAAGATGAAAGGAAATTGTCATTATGGTACTACTTGAATTGATTACTTCGTTAGCAAGTGGATTGCATAATTTTATACGTGTCAATTTGATGAATACATTACAAAGCAGCTACAGTTGTCTTTGAAGCAGATGAAGGATTGTTTTACCTTCATCTCAGTCTGCGTCAAATAAGGCTCTCCATCGGGATCCCGTGAAAGGTGAACTTTATTTCCTTTAGTCTCTCCAGCATCTAACCATTCAGTGCTAACTTCAGGTTCCTGCCACATTGCTTCCATGTCCTGGACATCAACGCAGTCATTCCAATAATCAAAGCTGGTGGCCATCCTGGAGCCCTTGTGCTAAGATGGCATCTATCAACAAAGAGAGTTTCAAGGTGCAATTATTACATCAAAAGAAAATGTGTTGATGAATTTGAAAAATTCTCTGTGTAAAAGGCAGTAGCTGCTGTGCTGGAGCTCGAGCTTCCGAAAAGGAAGGAACATATGTAAATAACAAGAAAAAGTTCGTAATTCTGTCGTTGTTAGATTATTTCTGGCAACCTTGATTTCCAAACTTGCAGGAAATACAAGTATAACGTCGTAGCATGACCTCAAAACAAAGCTCCACTTAACAGAAAAAGATCTAAGAAGCAGGTTGCAGCTTAGTTTTTAAGGTATCTAGAAATGCCAAAAACATTAGAAACACCTCACCCCAGAAATGGAGAAACGAAAATTGATTGGAGAACTTGACATGCGATAAGGCTTGTAGAATTCCGATTCCAGTGGCATAAAAATAACTAATACGCATCAGTGAAGGCAATATCAATAACATGTAAGTCTAGCATTTAGTTCATCAATCTATTCTTTTGAATATAACCAGACGTTTATCTGGCATTTGAAAGCTAATTCAACAAAGAAAAATAGATGAAGTTCCGGTACAGTGAAATGTGTGAACAGAAAATGCTGGGGAAAGAAATAGCCATCCAGTGCCCCAACATTATGATACGCTTTACAGCAAGTAGAGTCATATGTGTATTTAGCATTGTTTTCACATTCTAAATAGGCAAGAAATGTGGACAAGCCAAGGAATTTTTTTTAAGAAAAAAAAAAAAGTCTCCTTGGGCAATTCCCAAACCAAATTGGCAAAAAAATAGTGCTTTTTCACTAGATATATCAACTATTCAAAGACCTAACGACCACAATGTCGCCAAACGAAATTTCAAATAGAATATTTAAGGCCTAACGGCACACGAGGAGAAGAAACAACGAATCCTCATCTTTGAAATCAGACATAAACTAACAACAAAGACAATGTTGCATTGCCTGTGATGAAAAGAATTGAGGTGCATTAATTGGAAGTGCATTTCCATTTATTTGGAATTGTTCCATTTCCCTTTCTTTCTTTTTTTCTAATGTAATTCAAAACAAAACGGTCCCCTTACATTTCCTGCAACTATCTAACAAGTCGTTGCAATTAGCCAATAAAGTTATAGCCATTTACATTTATAATAGATTAAAACAGCACCTCAATGCAAATTATGTATTCTTAAATTTCATACAACTTTCAAAATTCCACATAATGTGAATAAAAAATAGCAAAATCTCCGATCCATATATATATATATATATATATATGACAGGCGAAGAGAGAAGGGAAAAAAATTCAAGATTACGAAATGAGAATAACAGAAAGAAAAGAACCCAGAAAATGAAACACGCCCTTATATCCATCATTCACGATGAGATCACAATGGAGGGAGAGAGACAAATATTAATTATACGTACAAGCTGGCTCAAAGTCAGAGGCCCTCTTTCTCTTGTGTTCAGGAAGAACAAAGAGAATGGAAAAGAAATCTACCTGGAGATGTTAATTTCTTCTCCCTTTGTTTTTGTTTTGGAACGGAAAGTAAAAGGGAACGGCGAAAAAAAAGAAAAGAAGAGAGAAGAGAAGATCAAAAGAGGGTATGTAAAGACTAGGGGAGGACCAATGTCGACGGGAACTTATCCATCCCTAAATATATATATAGCCTTCTCTGTCACCCTCTCGTTTTTGTGTCTCTGTGTGTGTTGGACGTTTTTTTTTTTTGTCCTTTTGGCTGGCCAGATAATTGCAGTTGTGTTTCGTAGCCTGCAGAGGAGGTGATTCTTGAGAGAAGGACACTTGGCAATAGCCACCTTGTTTTCTCTCTCTTTCTGCGTGTGTTGACACTTGGCAATTAAATGTGTGGGGTTCACATAAATTATCCATAGTACTCTCCTTGTTGAAAAAAAAAATAATTATTACTTGCGTGATATTAATTTCTTTTACAGTTTTAAAGAGTATCTCCGACGTGGCATGTTTATTATAATTTATTAATTTCAATAATTAAATTCAAGAAAACATGCATTATTTTGCAACAAAAAAAAAAATTGGCCATCATGCGCTGGTTCATGTAAAATGAAACCCGGTAGAAGCCATGAACAAATAAACACGTGTAAAGTTTTGATTTGAAGGAGAATTAAGAGAAGAAGAATGAAAAAGCGTTACCATTCTTTACAGTCTATCAAATGAAAATACTCTTTTTCTTATGAAGATAAATATTTTACAATAACAACATAGATTATTATTGTTGTTATTAAATTAATTATTAATATTAGCTTGAAGGGTATGGCAACATCATGCTCATAAGGTATTATTTATTAAAATAATTTTTTTATTATTTTTATTAATCTATATTTTTAAATTTATTATTTAATATTATATTATTAATAAGAATACTTTGATTTTTTTTATTATATTACATAAATGTCTCTTGAATTTATTTTTTTCAGTTTTAATTTTTAGTATTAAATTTATTGGAAGTGAGAATTTGTATTTTTTATATAAATTTACTTTGATCTTATAACCTAAATTACAAGTTTAATAGATTAATTTAGTTTTTTCATAATTTTTTTTAATTTTATCATTTATTATTGAATTGATTGAAAATTAAAATATATAAAAAAATAAATTTTTTTTATAGAATTATCCTGGTATCATAATAATACGGATCATAATTTTGATAGATTAACACTTTTTAATGTAATATTTTTTTAATTAGTATTTTTTAAAATTTTTTTATATAGAGTTATTTTAATCTTATGACTTGAATAATAAATTTGGTAAGTTAACTGATTTGACTTAGTTTATTTTTTTATTAATTTGTTTTAATTTCACCCCAACAACACTATCTTCTTCTTTTTCTTTTTTATTCAATTTTTATTTTTAATTTTAAAATTCAATGTTAGATTGTTTGGAATTTGAGTTTTGTGATTTTTTTCAACTTATTTTTTTAAGTTATCTTTATCTCATTAATTTAACTTTTTTTTTAATTTCAAACTTTAATATTGAATTTGCTAAAAATAAAATTTTATATTTTTATATTTTTTATAAAATTATCTTGTTTTTATAACCTAAATTGTTGGTTTGATAAATTAATCTAAATTAATAAAAAAAAACTTTCATTTTAAAAAAATAATCCATCAAACAACACAGCACATCTCGATAATCTAGTGAATCCTATAGCAGTTAAAGGGCATGAGATTTTCATAAAGTGTTGAGGTTCAAATCCCGAAAGAAGCAGAACGGGGGTTTAGAACCTGTGAAGGTGTATCTTACCATGGAGGCTAATTCCCATTAGATCTTCCATCGAACCAAAAAATTTAGCAAGTCTTTAGTAATCACAGCCTCGAATGGAATACCCTTTTTTTCCCTGGGCTTGTTTCTCCTTCTCCTTCTTTCTTTTTTTTGTAAGAAATCAGGTATAATATTTCGTATAGAAATTTCTCTGGTGCTAAGGGAATATCCATCACTCCATATTCCATCTTAAATTTGATGTGTTTATATTTTTAGTTTAAGAAAAACAATACAAAGAAATCAAAATAGAATTCAAATTAATTTTAATATATTATTATCAATCAATACATATAAATTTAAATAAATAAAATTAAAATTGATCAGTATTCTTGAAATACTAGAGATATTTCTTATTTTTTTATAATCCACAAGTTATCGTATTCCATCTTAAATTTAATGTTTGATATTTTTAGGTAAACAAAAACAATATACAGGAATTAAACTAAAATTCATGTTAATTTTAACATATAATTATCAATGAACATACACAAACTTAAATAAATAAAACATAAAATAATAGATATTCATGAAATACCGGAGATGTTCCTCATTTCCTCCTGTAATGCAAACGATGACAATCAAGATAAGGCGGAGGCGACACAGTCTGGGCTTTTTTATTGGGCCATAACCCTGAAAACCTCTGAGCTTCAGTACGAGGAACACCAACAGGCTTTTTTATCTTTCTTTTTTTTCTTTTAACATCGACAAGAAGCATCAGGGATCCCGATTGGCTGCTACAACTTCCACGTTCACAATTCACAAAATTAAGAGACAGTTAATTTTATAAATACATAAAATATACAGATGAGAAACACGTTATATTCCAGAGTAACGAAGCCAGTGCCAGGGTAGGTGGTTCAGCCGTCGAAGTAGGAGGGTAGGTGGATCTCCGGTGTGTTTTTTTTCTGGACGACCACGTGTTGAAAGGAATAGGATTTGCTCCCAGCTACCCACGTACAGACAGACGGACCCACTCTCCCATGGAAATGGAAAGAGGGACACCGACACCTCATGCCTTGGCTTTACGCGACCCTCTTCGTGGATCCTATTCCGGTCTATTCCGTCCCCACTTCGAATCAAACGGCCACGTCGTGCGGTGCATTCTGCCATGTTCTTAAATAGTCATCCGTAAATTTCACAGAGAATTTTTTGTCCCAATACAAAACATTTTATATAAATTATATTTTCATTATAAGATTAAAACATTTGGTTTGTAGATTTTGAGTTTATTCCTCCATTGGCATTTGTGTGCCCTCGGCATAAATTTTAGAAAAACCCAGCATATTCAGCACATGACGCCCTGCCATTGTTGTCTAGTGGCAAGGCGACAAAAAGTCCTTGCACTTTAGCATGAATAAACTTATTCATAAATTAGTAGATATAGAATGTTAAATACAGCCGTGGCTGTGCAATTTTAGACCGGTGATCAGGTGCATGTAGACATGAATTGTCCAAATCAACGCAATCATTATTGCACCTTAGAAGGAGTCAAATTGGATTTGATTTGCCAAATGTGTCAACTTTTATATGGTGTATTTTTTTTTTAAAATTATTTTTATTTATAAATATATTTAATTTTTAACATCAATATATAAAAAAATTAATTTTAAATAAAAAAAAACCTTAAAATATAAGTTTCACCACGATCCCGAACAGCCTCTCAAAGTATTTATAAGTGAATGGATGTGGTAACAGGTAATAACAGTATATGCTGGGAGTAATTTTTACCGTGCCTTCCAGTCAGTTTAAAGTCGTTTAACCGGATGTTTGCAGTCCCGTTCACCAAGGAGCGAACACGGGTTACTCTCTCCCGCCACGCACCGGCGGCCGGATCCTAGAAGAGATAGAGAGGTCAGCAGCCCAGAGTTTTTACGTAACTTCACATTTTGATCTTTATACCTTTAAACGTTACGGTGTAATTTCTAATGTTAAGAAATTTCATGTAATTAAATCCTTTTATTTAAACAACACGACCCTACACTGGTCCGTCCTTGATTTTTAAGAATGAGTTTTATGTTTATTCTATGGTTAAATTCCCAGAATCACTCAACAAATCAATATATAAGATGGAAGAGAACAAAGGTTTGAAATCGTTCTTGCTATGAATTTTTAATGTGCTGACATATTTTTCTGACTTTTTTATAAAAAAATCTATATTGTTCGTATAGTATACGAATGGTTTTATAATGAAAAACTCATATTATAAATAAATTGCATCAATGAACAATACTATATTACTCTTCCTTTCTTCTTCCCCAGGGCTTTACGCAGAATCCATCCTTCCCTCCTCTGGGTTCAAAAAACCTTTAAATTTAGCGAGTCCATAAAGAGATTGTTTATTTTTATTCTTATTCTTATTTGATTGAAACCAACCCCTTCAAGATTTATATGTCGCATTAGTTTTTAAGAAACATCTCACACCGTGCAACGTATCATTGTTAACACATTATTTGAGAACACGATGCAAAAATTGTATTTTTAAAAAATTAATTTTTTTTTATTTTTTATTAAAATTTAATATATTTTGAATTATTTTAATATGCTGATATCAAAAATAATTTTTAAAAAATAACTATAATTATACTATTAAATATGCTCTAAAATGTGAAGTGAACTGATTAGATGCTTATAATGTTTTTTCGCTGTAAAGTGGTTACGAAAATTTTTTAGTTCAACTGTTGTTTTTCAGCAACTTTTCAACTTTTTTTCTGCGACATGAACTCATGTTCTTCCATGAATAAGGAATGTTTTCTCGTATAAATATTGCTATATATTTTCAGTCCAATTATCAATTCAGGACTAATGTAGAAAAATTTAGTTTCTTATAAACAACTTCGAACTGACCACTTCGACTATGCAATTATTTTTTTCATCTCAACATGTATCCTCTTCCTCCCCATAATG